TCATGACGCTTCCTATGGAGGCCATACACACCTCTGTCCTCCCGTGACTCTTCCGATGGAGGCCACACACACCTCTGTCCTCCGCAGGCTCAGCACACAATGACTCCACACAGAGGCACAGTCTCCTTTAACAAACTTTAAAGAAAAGGGGACACAGAGAGGATACAGAGAATGCAGCGACTGGAGGCATGCAATCAGGGTGAAGCTACCTTCTATAGCACTCCTGACTCTCTAACAGAGACAGTGGATGGGCTATGTCTTCCCGGCTAGCCACGGTGTATAAATAGACGGTGGGGGAGGGGGTTCGGGGACGGGATACAAAGGGTCCGATGATATGAGCACACTACGAGGACGAGGACTCTACACGATGGGAGGCTCCTATGCTTCTCCATCAGCACCAAGAAGTCTGAGGCCTCGGCAAACGTCCCATTGAGTATCTTTGGAAGTGAAGGGCACCGGGCTCACATCATGGCACGGAGCGCCAGGTGGCTCTCCGGCGTGTGGGTCCTCTGGTGGATGAGGAGGTGGGAACTTTGGCGGAAGCTCTTCCCACATTCGGCGCAGGTGTACGGCCGCTCCCCGGTGTGAACTCTCTGGTGGGTCACCAGGGACGAGTTGCGGCTGAAGCATTTGCCGCATTCGTTGCAGACAAACGGTTTCTCGCCGGTATGGATGCGTTGGTGGATGACCAGGTAGGAGCTCTGGCTGAAGCTCTTCCCGCACTCCTTGCAGGTGTAGCGTTTCTCGCCGCGGTGCACGCGGTGGTGGCGGTTGTAGTCGGAGCTGTGGATGAAGCCCTTGCCGCATTCCATACAGGTGTAGGGTTTCTCCCCCGTGTGGGTCCGTTGGTGGGTCACCAGGGTGGAGTTACAGCTGAAGCTCTTCCCGCACCGCAGGCACGTGTACGGCCGCTCCCCTGTGTGGGTCCGCTGATGCGTCACCAGCTGCGAGCTGCGGCGGAAGCATTTCCCGCAATCCGCGCAGCTGAAGGGCTTTTCCCCGGTGTGAGTTCGCTTGTGCCGCAAATAGGCCGACTTGTAGCGACTGGTCTTCCCGCACTCCACGCAAATGTACTTTTTGTCCTTGGAGTCCGTCTCCTGCAAGATTTTAATGGCCTTGAAAGCCTTTAGCCGTTGGTCCGTGGAGTGCGGGCGGCCCCCCCGCGGGGAGGCCAAACTGTCTCCTTCATATGGAATGCCTTCGCTGGAGAAGGCGTACGAGCTCTCCCCCATCTGAGGCCAGGCCTCCTCGTCCTCCTCTGCGGCAGTCTCTCTGCGGGAGGACTCCCGCTCGCTGGCCAGGCTCTGAAGATGGGCAATGATATTGGAGAGCTTGCTCGCCCCCTTCCCGCTCGGGCGACCTTTGGGGGAGGCGCTGCACGGAGGACTGTCCTTCTTGTCGGATTCTAAGAAGCTTTCCTCGCTCTCCTCACCTGGAGCTGACTGGGAGATGTCTTCATCATCTTCATCATCATCATCCTGACAGTCTAACAAGACCCCGCACTGCTGGATGTACAATGTGTTCTCATCTTCTATACCGTTCATGGGGCGATATGCACCTGGGAATAGAAAGAAGCCATGAGGTCATAGGTCACCA